CCCCCCCCACCCTCATCCAGGGACGTACTGATGGTCACGGTGCTGGATAGATCCTCTCCACCCTCTTCCGCGGCACCGGACGGCCGAACGAGACCACTCTACGTAGCCGAGGCCAAGCCCCTCCGGTGCACGCACTGGGGCTCAGGGGGGCGCCCAACCCGCCGCACTTGCGTCGTGGCACCCCCGGAGGAAGCCCAAGAGCTGGCTTCGGGTGGTTCGGCCGTAGACCGGGACGGTGGTGATCCCCGCGGGCGGGGCGGGGCTACTAGCGGGGTCGGGAGTGAGGTCCTTCGCCGGGGAGGGGAGTCGACGGTCCAGCTGGCGATCTGCTGGTCGCCCGCGATTCGGCTCAAGCGACCGCTGTCCCTGGTGGCGCGGGCGGGGAGGCTGACGGCGCGTGTGGTTTCTCGGAAGGTTGGCGGGGTAATTGGGCTCTGGCGAGAGCGGTCCTTGACGGCGACGATTTGCGGAGGCGAACTTATCTGCTTGTTTGCTATGTTGGTATGTTTGGATGTCGCGTAGCACGAAACATCTGATGCTTCAACAGCCCGTCTGCGATAATGCCGGACGGAAGCGCTGGCACGATGTATTCAGGACCAGGTGCCTTCAAAGCCAAGGATGGAGCTAGTTGGGGTGGGAACAGACCAAGCACAAAAGGAAATTTGCCTATCAAAAGATTCCCCAACATCAGCTCGAATATCCCATGACATTTTGTCCGCTTGCGAGCTGCAGGATATGCTGGTGCGATTCACCCACGTCATGGTGTCCTCATTGATCAAACTAGCAGTTTGATTTCTTGGTGCATGTACTTCTTTTACCCGTGTGTTGCTGTTTTTTTCACACGGCCCACTGCCTCGAACAAGCACCCTCAATAGTCCAGAAGGTTTGTCCGCGCAACCCCTCTCGCCTCCTTTCCGTGACAGACCTCATGTGTCCATGCCACCCAATCCTTCCACCCTATCCTCTCGTCCAATCAGATCGACAGGCCGGCGGCAGCGGTGCTGAACCTCGGACTGGGCGGGGCGGAAAAGGCCTCCGATTTTTTCCTCTTTGGAGACCCGCGGCTGAAAGCGGCCGCCCTGGTCGCGTTTGCGGTGTCCATGTCCCTGGGTTCGGCGGTTGTCGTGGCCGCAGCGGCGTGCTTCTTACCGGTCATGCTGGCGCTGTCGGCGGCAGCGGCGGCGACCTTCGCGACTCTCGGGCCGCCGGCATTGGCCTTGACCTGGGTCTTCGCGTGCACGGGCCCCGCGTGCGAGCAGCTCTGGAGACCGCTGCTGGTGAGAGTTTATTGAAGATGAGGGGGGGGGGG